ATCTGTACATAAATTATGTAGGAACGTATTACCTATAACGTAATGTTAATAATTATAGATTTTTCTATTTTTTTCTATTTGATTTTTAAATGATTTTTTTTTTAAATTATTGTTAATTAATAATTATATATTTTTCAATTTTCTATTTTTGCTATTTGATTTTTATATGATTTTTTTTTAAAAATGATTGTTAATTATTATTAATAATTATAGATTTTTCTATTTTTTTCTATTTGATTTTTATATGATTTTTTTTTAAGTCATTGTATTTAAATACAATAAATATATTATAATATAACTGCACCCACATAAATGATGTAATCTTAGTTAATCAGATTGGATTTGGATTACAATTAAAAAAAAAAAACATACCAGTGGAGTTTACATTTTTTTTCAGGTAAAAAAAATGTACCGGTGGAGTTTACATTTTTTTTTTCAGGTAAAAAAAACGTACCGGTGGAGTTTACATGAAAAAAGGTCTAAAAAGGTCGCAATCGGTGGAGTTTACATGCGCCCGATCCTTCACGGCTGTCCGAATCAGGTTCCCCGAACACAATAATAGTATGTCTAATATATATCGTTTTAGAGTTAAAAATAAGCTACAATCCTCAAATTTGATTCTCAATCCAAAAATTTGGAAATTCGATATGAAGTTCCACAAAAATTATTACTACAGTGCATAGTTCAAATGAAAAATTTTAAAATCACATTGTCTCAATTCCATTTTAAAAAAGTTTGAATTTTATATTCTGATGAATGCGATATTTAAATGAATAATAATGATTTTTTTAACAATTATAGTTTTTTTTTTTGTAATTTAAAAAACATAAACAGTAGAGACTTGAAGCTTTCCACTAGGTACCAATTATATTTTAATAGTTAAAACTTTAAACTGTTTAAGAATAATGGTAAGCTTTTTATACCAACATCAATAAACTATTCAAACCATTATTCAGTATATAATATTATTTTTGAAGAATTATTATTTCTATCATAATTTTAATTTATTATATGATCAAACTACATGTACATTTCTATATACTATTACTCACCTTTCACGGCACAATATTGGTATGGATTTACAATTAAAGCTGTAATAAATTAATTAAAAAAATATATTATGAGAGGTTATATTGCCTTTTTCATTTGTTGCATTACACGCATGATAATACAAATGAAAATACGACACATTTAAGATTAATTCTATAAATTATTAATGTAAATAGTTATAGAAACAGATTCATTTACAAATAACACTTACCATGACTATTTGAGTTACGGATAGTGAAATAAAATATACGTAAATAACCTGTCAGTAATATTTTAATATTACATAAATAATAAATTAAATTAATATTATATTATATAAGGTTTACAAATCAATAGTTATTTTATTTAAAAATATTTATTTATCTATTCATATTGAATCATTTAATATCTATTGGTTGCTTAATAGTTTGACCTAATAATTGAAATAAATGATTTAAGTAGAATAAAAAGTATTGGCAATACGCAGTACAGGCTCCTGTCAAATACTTTCGAAACTTGCCTTTTTACTCAATAATGAGTCTAAAAACAACCTGAAACACACATAAACATACTCACCACAACCGGAGCAAAACCGACACGTGACTGACATATATTCAAACCTTTCCCCATAAAATACATTATCTCCCCTTTTATTTTTCCTTTTGAAAAAAAATAATTTAAAAAAAATATTGACACTTTGTTAGTCGTAGTTATTTTATCCGTACACAGCCTTTTATTTGCGTCACAAACATATTATGGTTTCTTTCGTCGGATGGGTCGCATAATGGTAATATTATCGTGCTTAGTGGTGGAGGTTAATTACTACTTAACTTTATTGCAATCACTTAATACACTCAACTCCTCATCTTAAGCATTATAATTATAATATTTCCAAGGAACCTACTATATTATATAACTTTAAAATGCTGTAGGTACTTTTTTATTTTTAAAATGTTTATAATTGGTCGAATTCTGAGGATTTAAAAATATTAATACTTTACATACCTACTCATAAGTCACTAAGAATTAAAATACTATAAGAAACTAACGAGGGAACACAAATAATGTTCTCAAATTTAAGTTTGATAATAGGTCAATATTCACTCTAAAAACACAAAATGAACTGCTGGACTGCTCTTAAAGTTGCGTTAAAACAACCAGCTATTTATACAAGTTTTAATTTTAGTTTGCAAAGTTTTCAAATAAAAAAAAACTAAAAACCTTCTCTAAAGATTTGGTGCTCGTTACGTTATCTATTCAGTTTTTAGTTTTTACCAAGAGATATAAAATTACCTAATAATATTAAATGATACCTATATTATTTTTCTCAAATGTAAATCAATTGATTTAAGTTTTAGAACTAATCGTTTTCGTTGTTATATGTTTAGAAAAAGATCAAACAGTTAATTAAGCCCGATTCACACTGTTACGGCACGGCACGGACCGTCACAGCACGTAACGGCACGACAAATCATCCAACTATTCACACTATTCAGGCATCGTCCGTCATCTACCGTCAAAATATTATGTAGTCACTCATTACAAACCACTAGCGTAGCCGAGTAGGTACTTACATATTGGTTTACGCAGCTAGGTAGTCGTTTGTAAAAATTGTAAAATGTTCCGAAATTTTTCAACGTCAGATTTGGCTATTGTAGCAATTTTATTAGACGAAGAAGAAGAAAGTACGAAGAATGTACAACAAAAGTTTGGACGAAAAAGAAAAATTTGGGTCCATGATATATTAAAAAAACGGAAAACCGAAGGTGAATTTGCAACCCTATGTCGCCAACTCGAGGATCATGAAGACAAGTTTTTTAAGTACTTCCGAATGTCCAGATTTCAGTTTAACACACTTTACCTAAAAATAAAAAATGAAATTTCCAAACAAAATACGCAGTTTAGAGAGTCAATACCGGCTAAAGAAAAACTAGGTGTATGTTTGAGGTAAGTGATTTTATTATATTTAATAGAAATCGTTATTTAATTTTTATGTGAGTCTATGAGTAACTACATTTATAATAAAATTAAGCTAGTGAGATTGTATCGTATTTGAATTAGGATGTAGTTTTAAGTTCGTTGTGTAATACCTATTCAAACAAATTATTCCTATTTTAGTATTTTATAGTATTTGATGATATTTTCAATAATAACAGTTTTTTAAATTTTTTTATTTACAGTATTATTTATATATAAATATATTATATATTTAAAATATATAATTTAAAGGTTAGGACTTAAATTAATTAATTAAAAAAAGAAATGATTAAAATAATGTTTGTGGATGCTATAAAATTAAATACTAAAAAATATATATAAATGATAATAATAATAATAATTATAATATTCGATATTATTTTTAGGTTCTTGGCAACTGGAGATTCGTACCAGACGATAGCCTTCAGTTTTCGATTAGGCCACTCGACTGTGCAACTGTGCAAGGAATTGTCATCGAAGTATGTAATGCAATTATCTTAAAACTAAAAGAAGAATGCATCAAAACTCCTCAAAAAGAAGATTGGGAGCAAATAGCAAATGAGTTCTGGGAAATTTGGAATTTTCCCAATTGCATTGGTGCTTTGGACGGAAAGCACGTTGTGATTGAAGCCCCTCCAAACACTGGCTCATTATACTTTAATTATAAAAAAACGTTTTCGATTGTTCTTCTAGCATTAGTTGACGCCCAATATAAATTTACCGTTGTCGATATTGGTGCGTTTGGAAAAAATAGTGATGGAGGTATTCTATCACATTCAAATTTTGGAAAAGCTCTTGAAAAAATAAACTTCACATTCCAAATAATCGAGCATTACCGGGTACAAATGAAAAGTTACCATATGTTATTATAGGTGACGAAGCTTTTCCATTAAAGAACTATTTACTAAGACCATATCCATGACCTCAAATGTACAGCGATGTAAAAAAAAAAAATTTTTAATGAACGACTATCAAGAGCTAGAAAAGTAGTTGAAGACGCCTTTGGTCAATCGACAGCCAAATTTCGTATATATTGCAGACGATTAAAATCGTTACCAGAAAATGCAGATAAAATAGTAATGACCACATGCATTTTACATAATTATATTAAACAAGACAGCAGTGAAATTCATACCAACGAAGTAGCCGATACAACGTCATTGGGTAATTTATCGTCTTTTCCAAGACAAGGAGGTAGTGCTCAAAGGCAAGCGTTTCAATATTGCGATCAGTTTAAGGACTTTTTTAACTCTTCAGCAGGAAAATTACCATGGGAGTAGATACAAAAAATTAATTTAAAATTTAAATTTTGTATTTATTAAATTTTCGGTTAGTACCTAACTATGTTCTATTTATGAGCTGTTTAAAATTTAATTTTATATCAATTATTACAGTCCAAAATTATTAAAACTACTTTTTTTTTAAGTTTGTATAGGATAAATAAAACAACCTAGTGTTTAAGGTTTCGAAAGTTATCTTTTTTTAGGTATGCAAATATGTTTTATTATATTTTAAGGTGACGGAAATTTAAAATAGTTTTTCTCCTAAAATACTTTTAACAAATTGTCTACACATGTTTTAATATAATACTAACAATAACAATTTATTTTTAATTTTTAATTTAGGAAAATAAAATAATATTTTAAAACACAATGTTATAGGTACAGCTTTTATTGTTTTTAGTCGTCAGTACCTTCCAATATGTTTTATAATATATCTGCTGATATACATTAATAAATTACCGTATTAACTATTACGTAAAATCTACCTATTTAACGTGCTGCAAATGTCTGCAATAACCTGCAATAACCTGCAATAACTTGCTTCTGCAGGACAAAATGGACAAATTATAGCAGCGACATGCACTCACACGTCAAATCGATGACTGTGTCGAAGTTGTTTTGGTATTGAACGGCATAAGTTCATAATCACAACGTACTGAGTTAACTATTGTTCACATTTAATTTATAAATTGTTTTAAGTATAATTATACAATGAATACAGAAATGCTTATTGAACTAGTTCGTGAACGATCATCACTATACGATATGAGTGATAAAAAATATAGTGACCATCCTTATAAAGAATCGCTGTGGAGAGAAATTGCCAGTGAAATCAATCAACCAGGTATGTATACAATTAAGCATAAAATTACCATTTTTTTTTTTTTTGGTCAAAAACAAGGCATGTAATCAAAATGAAATATTGTGGTTTTAATTTCAATTTCACATATTGATATTTGTTTTTTCTGATTTTAATTTGTAATAATATATCGATTTTATAATTTTATGATTTTTATATTGTTACACAATATCAAATTTAATTATAATATTACGATTTTTAATTGAATTTTGAACATTATTTTTCTTTTTTTTCGATTAAAATATCAATTTTACATTTTTATAATTTTAATTTTGATTTCTAACTACGATAAACCTGTAGTCGTCGTTTGCACGGATGCGTAACTGCAGGCCTAAGAAACAACATTTTTAGTTACTTTATTATTACACAAATATGAACAACATTATAGTCCTCTCAGAAATTATTAAATATTTTTAAATTAAAAAAAAAATTTAATTTTAAATCGATTTGTATATTTTAAAAATCATAATACGATTTTTATTTATATTTTTTACAAATGATCGATTTCAATTTTTTTTATTTCAATATAAATTTTGAATACCGTTAAGAGAAATAAACGATATTTTTATAATTTTTGATTTCTTACATGATTTTTAATGATTTTTATCGATATTTAAAATCGATTTCAAGCCCTAGACTCAACATGTCGAGTCAAAATCAAAAATAATAAAATAGTCCTTATTTTATTTATTAAAGTTTATTATTTTTTATTTTAGTTCAAAATTGCAAAAAAATGTGGACTAGTCTGAGAGATGGTACAGAAGAGCTGCTAAAAAATCTATTACAGTGTCAGGACAAAAAACAAAATTTGTAAAAAAAATGGAAATATGCGGATGAAATGGAATTTTTAAAACCTCACATGAAAGAAAGGGATTCCATAAGTAACATAGATGTGGTAACTGACGAGTGACGACGAAGATGTTGTTATATCTCATTCAGATGATGAGGAAATTCAAGTGGGAGGTGAGAATTCTGTCTCATTTGAAAATGCAGTACAAAACGTAGAAACATCATTTAGTACACCGGCTCCAGTGCAACCACGACAAAAAAAATTTAAAAAAACGAGCTCATTGAAACCACCCGAAACTGCATCATCCACTCTCATGAAATATATCATTGAACAAAAAATTCTGAACAATCATACCCAACAACAAGCAAGTTAGATGCTATGGATCAATTTTTTTTGTCAATGTGTTCGACGGTCAAACAGTTCTCACCGTACTTTCAACACATTGCAAAAACTATAATTTTTCATATTATATCAGAACTAGAGTTAGATCAACTGAGACAAAATCAACCACAAACACAATCAACTATTTCTAATCAGGACTCATTACAACATCCATCACAAGTACAAACACAAACCGTTCCTGGATCCATGTCAATAGATAGTGGTCAATTGATAGCGCGACAATAGATAGTGGACAATAGATCGCGCGACAATTTATAGTATATTACAATTGATAGTATACGATAATTGATAGTGTTATGACTTATTTATTAACAAAGTTGTCAATAATTAAAAAAATATTACATATACCTAGTAAAAAAATTCGAATAAAATGTTGATTCTTCACAAATAAACTTAAACAAAGTTGTCAATAATTAAAAATATAATATAATAGTACCTAATAAAAAAATCAAACTTGCAGTTGAAAATTATGCGCAACCCCTCGTAAATAATCATCTATACTTCTATTATTATAATCACTACATATATTTTTAAGTTTTTTTGCTCGATCATTGTATTTTTTTTTTGTTGGTGGTTGATTTCCTGCAACTAGTTGTTAAACTTTCAATCGATTGACACGTTCTTCTTTTTGTAGTGCAGTAATAAATTTCCATATAGATGGATGAATCGATGAATTCAACATTGACGAAAAGCAGTTATGCCAGCCCTCCACTGAATTATTTGTTTGAGGCAAATCTGCTTCCACAAGAGAAAAACAGTTCCAAATTTGAATATTGAATTTTGGTTCTCTACAATGTCTGCGTTGTAAACGTCCAATCCAATTACTTTCAAAATAGTCAATAAGTGGTGTTAAAAGCTCCTCGTTGGTTGAAAAATAATTAGTCTCAATTAGAGTTTCAAATGATTCAATAACGTCTTCTTGAGGTACGAATGCTAAAGCTGGTAACATGTAGAGCGAAAAATAAGTTAATTCAATCAAATAAAATTAATTAATTTAGTATAACTAAAATATAAAAGTAAATGTTGTCGAAAACGTGGTACACTATCAATTGTCATAATCTATCAATTGTCGTATACTATCAATTGTCGCGCAATCTATTGTCCACTATCAATCTTGTAAAAAGATACTTTTAATTTGTATTTAAATAGAGATACAAATACATCAACTTAAAAAGTATTTAAATAGTATTTAAAGTACTTTTTTCAATAAGTATTTAAGAACAAATACAAATACTTAGAAAGTATTTAAACACAAATACTTATTTTAATACATTTGTTTTAAGTTTTACCTTTGGGTTCAATACTTTTTCTCTGATATTTTAACTTTAAATTTGACCATGAGATCAAACTCATTCAAACTGTACATATTAATTATTATTATATAGTTAATACTTAATAGTTCATATATTATAATGCATGTTCCATATTCTGGTAGTAACCAAGGTACCTATAATTGTATGATAAGTTAATAATCACCGAATGATCGTTTTAATTATTTATGCACTCTCGGAGTTAGGTCACCACACCAGCCGTGTCACAAACGTCAAAAAAAATGGTCACCCATGCCCACTTTTTCTTGTGGAGTTAAAACCCAACACCAACAATAAAGAAATCCTAAACTTGTCTACTATTTTGCACACATATATCAAAGTCGAATTTCCATACAGGACCAAGAGTGGTCCACCTCAGTGCCGTAACTGCCAGAACTATGGTCACACTGCGAACTATTGTCACCATCCTTCACGGTGTGTCAAATGTGGGGGCGACCACCACACCGTCGACTGCATCAAACCCAAAACCAGCCCAGCTAAGTGCTCCCTATGCATGGGCAATCACACCTCCAACTACAAAGGATGTCAAATATACAAATCTCTTCTCAAACGACGCAGAACCACTCATTCAAAACAACAGAATCCGAATCCGGTACTCACTTCTTTTCATCTCCAAACTCCCCCTCTCCCTCCCAAAACTTCTTACGCATCCGCTACTAATTCTAAAAATATACCATTACCCAATGTTCACACAACCGATAACCCACTAACAAAATTCTTATCTGAACTTTCCTCTCTAATCTCTCCCCTCATCACGCTCCTTACAGCTGTTCTAAATAAACAGCCTGTTACATAGTGCATTACCTTTATTATCTCATAATTAATTTAATTAAAATTTTTTTTTTTAATCGCCAGAAACGTTAAACTAACTATTGTACCTTATAGGTCTTCAACTCATATTTATATTAATATTAAGTTAATATATTATCACGTGCTGGGTGTTATCAATGGATAACTTCCCAATCATATTATTTCACTGTTAATTTTATATTCCTTTATCAAATCTAATTATTATACTATTAACTGTATAGATTGTAGATGTATTTTAATAAAAAAAAAAAAAAAAAAAAAAAATTATTTATTGTATGAGAACTAAATAGATATTATAAGAACCTTTATCTCCACAACAAACCTAGCTTCTGGAAAAAATAATTTATATATAAATGCTATATTTCTGTAGTGAAAATATTTTTGTTAATGTATATATTACGTATGTATACTATTTAATTATTCACACTATTTCGACCGTTTTCTATCGTTTTTCGCCCTTTTTTAATACTCGATTCGCGTAGCTCGCGATCTCTCGAAGCCGCCGGTGGGCAGTTTATAATTTATATATCCGTGCGCCGTCCGTAGCCGTCGCAATGTCGATCGCAAAATACGCTCCCGGACGGACTTTTTTGCCGATTTTTTTCGGTTTCTCCGACAGTTTCGTCTTTTCGCACGTCGTTCATGGATCTAACATCATGTTGATTTATGGGCTCGTTTTAGGTTCAGACTTCATAGATCATAGGTAAACGTAAAGTCGTAAACCTAATCAGCTGATCGAGTTTCGCTTCATTATTGTTTTATGTTTATAGTTTGGAGTTTCAAATAATTCACATCACAATAAACTAATATAGGCTTCAATGAAAAAAAAAACAATAATATTTTGCATTTTAGGAGGCTATGTCGGGAATAAACTTACTAAATTTCAATGATATTACTCATGACTATATTATTATTTAGTCATGATATTACTTTGATTTCTGAGAAAAAAGATAATAAATAATCATTTATTATTGAAAAAAAATCGATAAAGTATTTAAATAAAAGTATTTGATTTTCAAATACAAATACGTCCAAAACAGTATTTAAAATACTTTCCAAATACTTTATTCAAAAAGTATTTAAAAAGTATTCTAAATACAATAAAAGTATTTAAATACATTTACTCAAATACTTTTACTCAAATACTTTACAAGACTGTCCACTATCTATTGTCGCACTATCAATTGACCACTATCTATTGACGGTATACCACCGTTCCTACCTTACTTCAATTAAATCATTTGCCAAGTTTTCAACACCCTCGACCACAAACCAAAAATCACACAGAAAATCCTGATCATTCAAATATCACCAACAGTGCAAGTACAAGTCAGTTTAATATGTTCGATTATCCTACAAATGGTAATAATTATTACTACCCAAAATCTAGTGATTAGATTAGTATGTAACTTTTCTTTATTATTTTCTTACAATTTTGAGTTATTTTGCAGTTATATTATTTATTTTTAATTAAAAGAAAAAAATCTAAATATTAATAAAAATGAATTCCCAATGAAAATATTTAAGGTGGAAAAATTAATTTAAATTATTTAAAAGAAAATGACGTATAAGGTTATACCTAATTATAACCTAAATAGTATTATTATTTCATATTTCCATTATCTTAATTAATTTTTTTTAGTAGGTATGTATTAAGTTTGCTAGTATTTAAGTTGACAAAAAGACAATTTTTTTAGTTTTGATATATTTTATTAAATCAAAATATTCTTTATATTCAGTTTCAAATTATTTCTACAATACTTTATTTACTATAATAACTTTGTGTAATTTGAAAATGATTTTACCTGTTTTTATTTTTTTGAATTAGCTATGCTATAGGTACCTGATTTTAAATTATCACTTATGTTTAAATAAATTTACAAAGTTAAAAGATTTTTTTTGTTTTTGTTCATTTGTTACCTACATTAAAACCTTTTAGATTCTAAGCTGAGTGATAAATGTATTTATTTTACAGTGAAGTGTTTTTTTTTTGTAACTGATGACGCTTTTTATATCAGAAAAAAGTGCTTCAATCCTCAACTTAAAAATATTTTCTGGTGGGAATATAAATCTATTTGGTATGTGGTCGAAACTAAATAATGAACAATACCTTTCTTAATAATTGGGAAAACAAAAAATAATTAATGAACAACTGGAATACGCAATACCAAAATCGATTTTTTTATTTTGTTTAAAAATTTAATTTCTAATAAACTTAATTAGGTAGTTATATAAATAAAAAAAAATTTTAATATTTTTTATTATTTTTTCTACGGTGTCTGCCGGTTCTGTGTTCACACTGCACCGGCACTGAACGTACCGACACGGACCGGCACGATACGGACCGTCAAAACATTCTTTCGGATGATGGTCGGTCGGTCCGGTCCGTGCTGTAACGTGACGGTGCGGTGTCGTCTGTATCAATGTGAATTACCTCATATAAACTAATAATGTAATATTTTTTCGTGCCGTGCCGTAACA